TACAATATAGAAGATGACTTGTTTAAAAATTTTGAGGAGGACACTATGGTTACTCCTGACGTCCAAGGTGGGGGAATTGATAGAGAAAACATACAAGGCATAGAATGGGGTCCAGAAGCCGTTGAATATATGCGTGTTTTGCGTGATCAGATTGCAAATCAACTACTTTCACCTACTTTACGTTAAATTATTATGTTATTTTGAATTTCATTATGTTTTTATTTGGATATTAAATGATTTATGTTTAATTTACATTTTGAATGACATTTTTTGTTTGTGTGTAATTTACATTTTGTATGACAATATGTATGTTTTTATAATTATTCAGCAACTTAATCAATCACTATATATAACAGAAGGGTAAAATGGTCATTTTTCATCACTCAGCACATTCAGTCAGATGTACAATCAAACCCACATTTTCTTTCAGTCCTCAGTCAGGATTTCTTACCCAGACAGACCTTTCCCAGTCAGCACTTTCTCAGTCAACAATTATCAAACGGGGCCTTACATTTCAAGTACTCGTGTTGCGGTAGAGTAAATGAGAGTATTAGCACGATACTTGAAAAAATGTATAGGATTGTGACATCCCCATTTTCACGGCCAATTTAAAAATTTTATTTATGCTTATTTATTTTAGAGTATACAACTTATTGCACATTTTGTTCCCAAAACATGATAATATCATTATCAAGTCATTTTTGAAGAAAGGTATTTCATTTATATTTAAAACTATGGGATGTGATCGTCAATATAGATACATAAGCATAAACAAATCTTAATATGTCTTACAATATCTTATTATACTAATGGCCTACAAACTCTTCAAACCAGTCATTATCCATGTGTCTTCGTATCGCTGCCTGTGATACAAAGAAACTAAGTGGTCAGACTTGGGATCTTGGTGAGCACATAGAGTTTTCAACCCAAAATAATTAAGTTTTCAATTATAAATTTCACATCAAATAACTTACCTGATTACCCATTCCCGTTATTTTCACATATTAATCCTAAAATACTGATCTCAAGGGACCTAACCTAAAGATCATCATCAACAACGGGTAGACAATATTACTTGGGGGATTCCCATAGCAATATATGTTAAAAAGGAAACCATGGGGAGATAGAGTACATCAAATGAAAAAATAGTTTATTAACACCTACAGGTTGCGAGCCTGTCAATGTTTCACTGCATTGTCTAGAATAGTCTGCGGTCTTCATCTATACTCTGCTAGATGACTGGTTCACAAAAAATCAAGGTCTCTCATCATTTCATTTTTCATCACCCATTACTTCCCAATATATTATATATATATATATATATATATATATATATATATATATAATATATAGATCTTGACTCTCTCTCTCTCTCTCTCTATATATATATATATATATATATATATATATATATATATATATATGAAAATGCATATATGATTAAAGCAAATAAATCATATTATCTATCATAGATACTAAGTAATTCAGATAATAGACACACATAGCATTTAATCCTTTGGATACTTTATATTTATGTGTAAGATGAAAGTAACTATGCACTCACTTGTTAAAATGGATGACAGGAAAGTCGGGCAGCGCTTCGCTTCAGCACTTAACTTTTCCTTTATGTGACCTAGGTTCAATTATCAGTTTATCACTAAGTCTTAGTCTTAATACTTCTTATGACTAATTAATAGTCTAGAGTCCTCAACAATCCCAATTTCTAAATCATGATCTATCAAGTTAGGAGCAACCAAGTAAGATAATATTCGGAGGTAGGGTCCGCTTGGTATACAAAATATACTGTTTGGAAATCCCACTTTAAATACCTCACTAAATCTAGCCTAGGCATCACCCCTGTAAGCAGATCAAATAGTATAATGACTTGAAACCACTGATCAATCGTATTTATAAATTCATAATAATGAATATAAATATAAATATAAATATAAGTTACATTGAAAGCAAAATAAGTGTAGCTTCACTTACAAAGATTTTCCTGATAAAAGTCCGGAAATTGCACTGACAGAACTGCGACCTGATAGCTACTAATACCGGGCACTCATGGACCTTAGAGCTTTGCCAAAATATCCTAAATACTAAGATTTTCGGGCTAAGGGAGTAGAAACTCGAGAGAGATTGTTTAGAGAATGTGTGGAGAAAAAATGAGCAGGAAAAAGCTACTTATAAGCATTTTCTAAGGAGGCATGTCGTGCCTACCTACCAGCGTGCTGCGCGTTGGGTAGGTGGCGGTTCCTCCCCCACCAGTTGACTGACACGTGGCGTTCACTGAGAGGGGCTGCGTGACAAAGCGGTAGGTAGAGCTGGAACTTTAAAAATTCATATCTCACTCATATGAACTCTGTTTTTGATGTTCTCTATATCCACGCGTAGGTATTTATGAGTACTACAACTTTTATTTAGACTTCGCCGACTAAATCCAGTCGATCTTAAATTTAACAGTCTACGAAGATTTCACTGCAATGGACCGTGTAACATTCATAACTTCTTCATACGAACTTCGTTTTCGACTATTTTTATATCGATAGACACCTTATCACGAGATCTTCAATTCTAGTTTGGTTCGTTTCGGCTAAAAGTCAACCAATCTAAAATTCGATTTATGTGAAGTTAGATTTGGACGCTCTCTATATGCACATGTTCGTTTTTATGATTACTACGACTTTCGTTTAAATTACTTAAGCTAATAAGCAACCTATCTCTGATTCACTATTTACGGCGTACTTTGTCGTATCGGGTCGAACGCGTAACTACAAATGATCATAACTTCTTCATACGAAGTTAGATTTTAGCGTTCCTTATATCCCCGAAATCATCATTACGACTACTTCAGTTTTAATCAAGGATATTTATTTTAATTAATATTTTATTTAAAATTTTGTTTTAGCCCTATTTATTAAGTTTTCACCTAATATTATATACACGTAATGTAAACACATAAGTCACATAGATTCAAACATATTTCTTTCTATTTATTCATCAAATGATTATAATTATTGACCAAAGTCAATTACAAATCTTGTTAATGCCTAGTGGAAAACGTGAAGGTTACAAAAATACCTGAGATAGTTAACGACAGGAACACTCACTTCATGTTATGTTTATTTGATTGTATCCTATTGTCATGTAAGGATATAACTTGTCTATTCCCTTTTTCGTATCAGTTGTACACATTCAACATGTATAACTTTTAAAGAATTTTTTTTGGATGTAATTTAGTGTGAAAAGTTATGATCGTATATGTTTGAACCAAAACCAAATTAATATTTTGGATTGCGGAGTGGCTTTATTTATTATAATTAGAAGCTAATGATCCAAAAAAAACATATTTTATTAGTAAAATATTTTTTTATTATGTATGCTTATAATTAAAAACAATCGTTGTTAAAATATTTGGTATTTTATCTATTTAAGAAACTAATAGCAAAATAAATAAATAGATAAGAGATTTTTTTAAATGAATATAAAAATTTATCAAATTATGTGAAAGTTATATATTTTGGGAGTCCTTTACTATTGAGAATAAAAAAAAGAAAAAAAAAAGGAAAAAAAATCAACCCAACTATAATTTGGTTTCTTTATATCACATTTTAATTTAGTTCATACTAGTTGGATGCATATTCCAAAACACAGTATCAATTCAAACACTTAATCAGATACCCTCAAACGCTTAATCCACTCAAACAAACAACGAACACCTCTTAACATCTACTGATACCCTACAATATGAAAACATAGCTAGATGTTGATTCCCACTTATACTTGTACTCATCATAGTCTAAGCCATAAAATCGTTTATTATAACAAAGTGTTATAAATTCCCAAAAATAAGACCAAGATTTGAGGTACCCTTGAACAAAATAAGCTTTATAACTTCCCAATGTGGTTTACTCGGGTTTGACATGTATCGTCTAACCAACCCAACTAATGTTACAAAGATAGCCTTGTACGCACCATCACATACTTCAAACTTCCAATAACACTAGCGTAGAATATTTTCCATATTAGACATGTCCTTATCATTCAAAGGGAAATATGATTTAGGGAGTTTGACATGCGTCGGAAGTAGTTTGATGATTGTTTTTACTCCATCCATGTTGACATGCGTCGGAAGTAGTTTGATGATTGATTTAGGGAGCTTGATGATTGTGTATAAAAGTTTCTAAATTCAATATGTGCCTCCTCAATTATATCGGCTTCTAGTTGACCACTACGATGTTTGATGTGGTAGATGCCGTTGAACTTGGTGATTTCATTTTTCATGGACTTCCACTTTGAATTTATTTGATAGACATTGGTCATCATTTCCCATTTGGTTTATAAAATATGCTCTAACCTGATTCCAAAATATCTTACGCATTCATGATTCACATTACCCAAGTCTTTTGAAATATTGATCAAAACGTTGGCCAACATATTTCTTCGTTGGTGCTCCATCATCTTAACTTTTTTTTTTTTTTTTTTTTTTTTAAATTTGGAAATACAGGTGGTATATATGGTTGTGAGAATGTGTGATAAACTAAGAGTGAGTACTATATTTATAATGTTTTTATTTTTGGAAAAATACACTAGCCATTGAAGTCGAATAACGTTAGCCAAGAAGCAAAGAAGCAAACACCGGGAAAAAAAGCTGCAAGGGAGCGGTACCGCACCATCCGGGATCGTGTTCCCGCAGTGTCATGCTTCGTGCATGACCTTCCCGTGAGTGCCACACCATACCGTATGCACTCATGTGAAATCGTATGCACTCATGTGAGACGTTGACTTTTAATATTTAATACATTGGACGTCTGATTATTGACCAAAATTTATTCAATAATATTTCTTTTGAACGGCATTCTATAATAAATGACCAAATGAAAACGATGTATCCAAAGCATTTAAGTAAACATAATAATATAACGTTGAAGGTGAGACAAGTACCATCACACAACAAAACCAAAAGTTATACATTATCCAAAACCATTACAAAGGCTTTTTCACCTCAAAGATTTCAATGATCTTGCCTTGATCGGCTTCCTCCCTCTCTTCTTGCCAATAATTGCCACTTTACCTTTTTTGTGATCGTCAATATTATCTAATTCCACTTTCATGGGCCCGACCTCCGAAATCTCGGGTTCCAATCGTTTTCGTTTTTTTTCTTGTATATCAATATCACCGATAACATCACCGGTTTCATAACCGTTGTTGCTATTAGTAGCAACCGTACTAGCTTCGTTATAAATATATGTAATTGTACTTGTAGTTGTATCCGTTGCCCCTCTTTTCTTGCCCCAAGACGGCCCAAACCCTGAATAATAATAGAAATCATGCGGGTTTGTTGTGGGCCGTTTTTTGGTTCGGTGAGGCCGGGCCCCTGTCATGGGCCCGGATATCACCCGAGATTTTTTCTTAGTGGTCGAAAGATGGTGATCACACATTTTGTTGCCATTTTTGACCACCCTTCCACATTGCCATCCTTTTTCATCTAATTTATCACACAACACAATTTCTTCCTTAAACCCTAAAATGTCACCACAATTGTCATTATCGTTTTCATCTTCCCGAGAGGTCTTCAAAGCCACACTGTTATCAAGATTAATCTTTATTCCAAACCCATATTAATATAGCGGGAAATTAACAACCAAAATTTTCATATCTCCGAGTTGGATCATGAAGAATCAATGCACAGAAGTCTCAATTTGGAAATTTTCTAGTTGTTCATATCATAATATATATAGACATTAACGTTCGTAATATGAACATTATAGTTCTGCAATTCGCTGAAGCCACATTGACAACAAGATCAAAGTTTTATTCGAAAGCCATAAGATATAACGCAAAAAAGATTCAAACTTTCCCTAAACCCCAGATTAGATTACGAAGCAATCGCAGCACATAAGATGTTAAAGAAAGAAAAATTAACGACGATATATACATATAATCGAACAACCCTAACTCGTTATAGGTTCTGTAAATGATCGATAACATATTGAAAGCAACCAGAATAATTCGAATTCGAAGAAAAGATTCACGGGTTACCTCTCCAAAGCTCCTACGGAATCAACCGAGCTTCCATTTCCAGCAAGATTAACGTTGTAGTAAACCTCATAATCATCGAACTGGGTAAGGCAAGAAACCCATTCAACAAATTATCAAGAAAAACTATAAGCATGCTAATAATGACTATAATCTGACAAACAAAGAAAACCCATGGGGAAAGTAAACTTATTGAGCTCAATTTCACGACGAAAATGGTGGGATTTTAGGGTTTATGGTTGGGAAGAACCCTAGAGAAGGGGTTTTGAAGATAAACCCTAGAGAAGAAGAAAGAAGAAACCGAAGCAAATAAACAAAAGATTCGGAGTGATTTTAAGTGGGGTTTTCTTGTTTCGAGAGATTTGATTCATAGAATTGAAGAAAAACAAGAACATATTGAAGGAGAATGAATCAATGTTACCTGGTGGAGAGAAGAAGATGAATCCGAAGACGGAAAAGTGATGATATCCCATGGAGATTGATTAAGCTGACACAAGTTCTTCTTTAGCAATGATTCATCGGCGTCACTTGTAAGATTTGTGGTTGAGCTAAGCAACGCTGAGATTTTTGCATTTTTTCTTATTCTCATGGTGAAAATGGAGAACACGAAGAGAGAGAGGGAGATGGGTACAGCGGTGAGATCCAAAATGACTTTCTCTCTCTATAATTATATGTGTATAACTCTCTTTTTCAGAGACGATGTATATAAATATAAGAAAAGGTACAACTTCCAAAGAAATATGTACAAGTACATATTACCATATTATATATATTAAGAAAATTTTGGGCTACAAAAAGGATTTTATGTAGAATTGTGAGTTTTGTTTGTGCTTCTCTCCCCTCTTTGTTTTTTCGCAGAACCACAGAACTCGAAAACAATGAGAGGATTATACTAAGGCTAACAATATAAATTTACACTTTAGACCCTATACTAGTTGAATATTATCTGATATGGTCCTACTAGTTTGTTGTCTTTCCCTTACTTACATTATTAAACTTAAACTTTAGTTTGTTATTTCTTTTTTTACGAAACTAGAACTGAAAATTGGATTGAGTTTGGTTTAAACTCATTTATTAATTGGGTTGAAGATTTCAATACAACCCAACCTTTTTATTTAAATGGGTAGATATTTTCAACCCAACCCAGCGTTTTAGATAAATGAGTTATCACCGGGTTGACATGTTTATGTAATTCCTAACCCAACCTATTAAATAAATGGGTTAACCTATTAAATAAATGGGTTAACCTATTTAAAATAAAAAAATAAATAAATTGACTAAAATTTTCACTCCTTAAATTACTTCAAAACTTAAATAAATTTTCAAGGTATAATAAAAGCATAATCTCAATTCACAAATACAAAGAAATTGTTCAAATAACATTAAAGATGTGTAATTTCGAAATAATTTTTGAAGAGTAATTAATGTTGTCGGCGCACAGAAAAAATATAGGAATTAGGATTGCATTTTTTAAAACATAAATAATATTACAACAGTATAATTTATAAATTAGTACTTAGATTAATACATGACAATATTTAAATAATTATTAAATTAAATATATATTAAAGTTAAATGGGTTGGTGGGTTGACAACGTTTACCTAACCCAACCTATTTAACTAAATGAGTTAGGCGGATTGACCCATTTATCCTAAATGGGTTGAAAATCTCAACTCAACCTACTAAATTTGGGTTAGGTTGGTGGGTTGAGTCAATTTTTGTCAGCTCTATATCAAACCATGCATGAGTTGCCTTAAATTGGAAGATCAACTTGTTATTGTATTTTATATCGGTACAGTACAGTCCAATAATTATATATTTTTGTTGGAGTCATCTTTTATTCATAAGAGTTTTTCTTAGGGTCAATATAAGACTTCACATATATCTTACATGATATCACAGTCGGCATCCCACACCCTTATGGTTCAACGCATCTTTGGCAATCCTCATCGAGCCTCCGACTTTGAGTGAGGGTGTTAATATGAGATTCAACATATATCTTACATGACCATTTTTTTGGGTTTTGATCGAATCCTAAACAACCCTTAAAGTTGGTGAGAGTTTGGTCAACCTTATTTGAACTTGAATCGTTCCATATTTATAGAACATATTAAAACTAAGGTAAACAACATTATCTCACTACCATCTTTGGTTTTGTTTGGAGTGTTATGTTTTGTTGTGAGGAACCTATATTTACATTCTAGTTTTATGGATGATAATAATGTTTTTTTTTTTGGAGCATGGATTCTTTTATTATTGTTACTTTGGATCATAGTTTATGTAATGTCTGCATTTTTCATTAAGCATTTTGTAGAAGAATATTTATTTATGTTAGTTAATAATGTAAAATTTCTTATAAATAATAAATAAAGAATTCTTCATACATGATATATGCTTATATAATTGTTATTTGTATATAAATAATATTTGAATTATTTTTATAAAATAATGAAATCATTTATATGAAGTTGTAGTAGACGTGAATACAGACATGTTGATATAAAGAATGTTGAGAACAGAGCCCGTATGAAGAAACTACAATTTTTCAAAATTACGTGTTACAACTCATTGTGTCAGTATATTTTATAAAATACGGAACAAAAATATATTACTTCTTAGCCAAAATAGTCTTGACGAAAGTTGTAGTACATGAAATTACGAATCCGCTGATATAAAGGACATCGAAAACGGGATTCGTATGAAGAAGTTGTGATTTTTCAAAGATACAACGTGTTAGTCTTGGTAATAAAACAAACAAAAATAGATTATGAATTAGCCGGTAGGATCTAAAGGAAAGTTGTAGTACACTAATTTAAGAAACCGTGGATATAAAGAACGTTGAAAACGGAGCTCGTATGCGAAAGTTACATTTATCCGAAGAAAACGAGAATTTACCTAGCAACTGACAACTCTAGGCTACCAAGCGGCCACGTGGCAGTTGGAGAACTCTCAACCCCAACAACAACCGATGATGTTGCACCATAGGAAGAAGCCACGTTAGGACGTGCCATAGTTTTTGAAAATTTTCCCTATAAATAGATTTCGAACCCCTCTTTCATCCCTTGCTAATTTCGATCGAATTATCTCTAAACCCTTGAGATTGCAATCCCTCGTGATTTGATTTTTTTTGTTCTTCAAGTATCGTTAGCTGAGCGCTGAAGCGCTAGAGAATCTTTTTTAGAAAAAGGATTCAACGTCGAAGTCACGCTTGCAAAATTTCAAGTTTTCGCCATACGATCATGAAAGGTGAGCTACACTTACTATGTTTGTTAAGTGTAATTTATATTCTGTTCATTGTCGTTATTATGAACCTACAAATAAGATTTATCAGTAATATTAGTTATAATATTGATTGATCTACTTACAGGCATGGTGTCTAGGCAAGATCTTAGTGAGACGTTTAAAGTGCATTTTCCAAACAATATATTTATATACCAAACGGATCCTACCTTCAATAGCATATTACTTGGTCATTCCTTATTTGATAGAACTTGGTATTTTCTGGGATTAATGAAGAGTCCAGAAAATAGTTAATATTATCCTGAATAATATAAATATAAATGAAAACTAAAATTTTGTAATATTTGTATTTAGGTTGTTTAAAAAGGGGAGAAAAAGTGTTAGACGAAGAGCTAATTTACTCGCAAATCTTCCACATTTGATAAAGTTAGTGCGTAGTTACTTTCATGGCACACATTTCTTTTTGGAACGACAAATAATTATATTTCTCCTGTCATTGTGATTGAACCCAAGACCTCCTAGTTAGTTGTTAGTTTAGAATCTTCATGTTAACCAAGTGGGTTAGCACCCAACTTGTGTCAGATATGGTTATTTAGTGTCTAGTTAACATGTTATATTTATTATTCTAGTTATCATACTTGATTTGCATTTAAGTTGGATAAGCATTTACGTTGGATAATGAGTAGTCTCATATTGGGGTGTGTGTGAGATTTAAATGAAAAGGATAGCTATATTTTATGGCACTGTTACGTGTCGGGGTACGGGTTACGTCCCGAGGTGCAATACACACTCAGTCATCTAACGGAGTAAGATGACGACCACTAATTATTCTAGACAGTCTTGTGGAACATTATCGGGTGTTCATTCCCGTAGGTGTTTTGTACTCTATCCCACCCATGGTTTCCTTGTTGACTTACAACTGCCAATTAATCCCCAAAGCAATATAATCGACTCGTTTCTTACAGTGATTCATCATGATAGATCCCATTGGATCATTATTATAAGATCAATGTGTGAGAATCGATGTGTTGGCTAACTAGTGGTGCATTATATATATATATATATA